TAGCAGTATAGCTAAGACCGTTAAAGGGCTAGGATCCGTTAAAACAAACGAGAAAAGGGTCACGCTTGAAATCCGTGATCTAGATCTGATTACCGAGAAGGCTGACGTTGAACACGCATTAAGTAGAATTCCACTGGTTGCTTACCACAGATGAGAATAGTGACGTTGCTAGGAGCGAATAAAAGAGGGGGGAAGGTAGCTTTGGTAAACACTGGAGAGACTGATGCCGCCAGATATATAAAAGAAATGAAGAGGCTGTTAATAGGCTACACAAGCTGCCAAGTGAGGAGACGGGTTGAAGTTCGCAGATGCTACCGATGTCTGGGGTATGGGCATATAGCTCGGGACTGCAATAAGGAGGACCGGTCGAAGCTATGCTTTCGATGTGGCTGCTGCAATCACCATAAGAAAGACTGCAAGGAAGAGACCCAATGATTCGCTCGCGGTGCCAAACACGGAGCAGGTAGCAGCAGCTGCCCAGCATTTAGAAAGGCAGTAGAAGAGGCCAAAAGTAAGGTGCTTACTAGACGCAGATAGAGTTTAAGAGGGTGGAAGGTAGATGACCATTGCAGATCCAAGCTGCGCTGACTTACCCGAGCCATCAGCAAGGGAAGCAACGGGAATCGATGTTCTCGAAAAACAGCAGACGACCAAACGGAATGAAGAGAAGGCAACATCACGACAGTGACGACACTGCTATGGAAGGGCATGTCAATGATCAACACTTTGTGGCCCTGGCTCGATGTATTACAGTGGGATCGAATTAAGTTTTCGGCAATGGGAATTCAGACTAGTTCGAAAAAAATATGATGTAGAGAATTAAACAATGCTAATAGATTGTAATAAAATCAAACAAAAAATATTTTCAACTAAGGCTTCTAAAAAAATGGTAAAAATTGTGAGACACGATTTTTCGCGTCGGAAACGAACAATAAGCCTTCAAAATAAAATAAAAAAACGGGTTGCATCACATGTGACGCACCGCAGAAGTGAGAACTTCAAAAACATGTAAGTAGTTTTTTTTACCGAGTTATCACGACAGCCTACTGGCATAGTCGCAGGAGCCACTCACTCACCACCTATGTGCGGGGGTGTATTGCCGCACTTGTTTCCAACCCTCGTACTGATACTATACCTAATCCATGGGCACAGTGTGAGTATCTCCGGTGAAACACCTTGCTAAAAACATCGTAGCGAGAAATAGGCATTTATAGGCTGACTGCGAGTTCCACACAGGGAAGAGGTTCGTACCCCCTTTTATCGTGTATCAAGGCATTCTGGACAACTTCGGATAGAAAAAAAAAAAAAAAAAAGGTAATAATAATAGTAATAATAATTTGAACAACAATAATAATAATAATAATGATAACGATTATGACAAAAAATGACTTGAAGTACCACCACTGGCTCTTTTCAGGGCCATCATAAGTATTTACGTTCTTTAATGAACCATCCATCTCATCGTTTCTTCACAGGGCCATGTAACGTTAAACTACCTTGCCAACAAATACATCTTTACTACCATTTTCGGGAATGATTCGACGACTGAAAGATTATATAAAGCCAGCCACTATTAAACCACGCCAGTCATTCACTGGTAGACGTCATGAGCAGAGTTTTTCGCCACGAAGCTGGATACCCCGACTATCGACAATCCTGCATTACCCTCTCGACTCTAAGCATTCAAACAGGAATCACCAATCCTCTCTGAGGTTTGTGTTGGACGAACTTAACAGTGAAGCTATAATTGAAAAATAAACTTTAGCAAACGGGACAGTCTCAACGGGCAAGCATCACGAACCAATCTCCCCACGAGATTACAGAAACGACTTAGCTCTGCAAAAAAAAGGTGCTTTTGACACCAATGTCTCCGGCGTAACACCAGAAGACGTTGGTAAAGAGCTTTACAACTAGCTCTAATGCTTCAGACGTTGTAGTTTTCCTCACGATCAGTCTGGTGCTACAACAGCAGGCCAGAGAAGATCACCCAGAGGAATTCAGGCAGTTACATTTGCTGGAAACTTCAGTCAAGAAAGATTTTAGCTCATTGGTTCTTTTTGAGGCAATCGAACGTCAAACTACTTTGCCAACAAATACATTACAACTTAACAAAACTGACAAAAAACAGCCTTTAGGTCTCACAAAATTTTTAATCATGCCTATAGTCATAAGAGAGCGAGTTGGAAGGACAACTTCAAATGCTTTAAATGTTTACAATTGTAGGCGTCAGGAAACTGATGTAGAACATTTATTGGGATTGAAACATCAGCTTCAAAATCGAAAAATAAAGAATTCATTATGTGAGAGATCAGATTTCCATTATAACCCTGACAGTAACATTTAAATCTTCCAAATTTTTAAATAGGTAGTATAATATGTATTCGTATTTATTGTGACTAGAACATACTCAATTGTACGCCTCTTAGACTAATGAATATTATTTAATAACAAACCGTTAAGTGTTAGATTATGACTGAATACAGTGAATTGTATTCAATTTAAATATTTTTTAATCTTACTTACTTAATTCATAAATGGAGATTTTGTGAGTAATATTCATAACATCACTCATAAATACGGGCCGGGTCGAGTACTGGGTCCGCTATCTCACTTCTGCTCATGTGCAGAAAGTCGCTGGTACGATTTTCAAGGAATGTGCGTTTACCGTGTCAAAGCAGGGCAGAGGGGGAAGATAAAATGAAAAATTCACATTCGTTACATATCTTCTCAAGGTGACAATTCTGAAATCGTTGGTTTACTTTGTAGCGCAGAACGTGCTTATAGAAGTAAATCTTAAAAAAACAATGTTTAATTGTAACTTTTTAATAATGACTCAATAATATTAAAAAATTAACATCGTTTTATTTTTTGTAAATAACATATAATTATGGATCTTAATTTCTCATAGTTATGAAGTGATAATACCATAAGAAAGCAAAGGTTTCTTTAAGTATTAGCGAATATTATTGAAACTTAAACCTTAAGATTTCGTAAATATCCAAAGCCAAAGCTGAAACTAAAGGAAATTAAGTTCTAAGATATTTAAAAGAAGCAGCAGAGAGGACTTTCAGTATTCTGAGTTATTCTTAGAATGAAAATTTTCTTTTCAATTTTTTCTTCAATTACATTTTTACCTTTTGTATTGTACTTTGTAACGTCAGCAGCCGAGTGTTCGAAACTTTTAAATTGCCTGACACATCCACTCTTTTGCACCGTCCTTGCTCTCTACTGTTCCTATCCATCCGCACAAACAGCACCAAAAGAGGAAAGGCATTTGGCGTTTTCTTATCGCCTTCGAAAACTGTTTCAAAGAAGTGACACCCGCATGCAATGCACCTAGTATACCTTTGCGCTTCCGAATTGACCCATATAAAACCGTATATAAGGCCTGAAGCATCCCACACTAGTCAGTCTCAATCAATTAATCTCACCATCCTCGACTCTCTTTTGGTCGAGGTCCTTTGCTTGACTCGTTTTGGTGAAGTTCCCTATACTGCTGCTCTTAATTGGCGGCACTTTTCCAAGATCATCCTTGATCCCCTCGGTCGAGTCCTCTGTTTCTAATACAATTTATTAGTCAATTTAGGTTGCTTTCAGTAATTGGCAATCAATAAAATAGTAAGTTAATAGAAAATGAAAATCTTTTTCAATTTCCTACTACGCATCCATCCTCATGAGTAGCCTTTCCGAACCCCTCGGGCTGCTTGTTTTTGTGCAAAGAAGCAAGCGAGTTGATCTGCTCACGTGTACCTTTGCATTGTCTCGCGAGAGTAGCTGGCGTAGGGTTGAACCTCCCTCACGTACCTTACTGCCTCGCAGTGCAGGCTATCTTTATCTATCTGACTGCCTAACAGGAGACATTAGCGAAAAGGAATCCCGAGAAACAAGCGAAAGCTTAGCTCAAAACCTTATGCGTTTCGCTGACGTAACAACTTATATAATTTAGTCATTCGCGATCGTGTACCATAACACAAACCATCTTGTTATAACTATTGCCATTACTATATTTCCAATTTTTATATTATGTTTATAAGATGGTAAAATTTTATGGATATTACTAAGCAATTCTAGAGGTAAATGAATGTAAATATTATCATTTCGATTATCAACACTCTTATCAGTTGCTCGATCTATGCTATGATACAGTTTTGACTTTTCTTCTAATCTACCTAAAATTTTATTGTTAAAAAAAAAATTTATTAATTGTGTGAAGTTGAATTATCAGTAGTTGTTTAGTAAATATAGTTATAAAATGTTTTAAAATCATCTTTTGCAATGCAATAATAGATTAATGTTTTATTTAAATAAACTTTTTCTCAACCTTCAGATTCTTTAACTTATTCTGTATGCTAAAGAACTAAGTTATTTTTCCTAGTAAAAAAATCTTCTGCAAAAAATTACCTATATTTATTTCATATTTTGTCACCTTGGATGTTTTCTGAAATTAAGACCTTAAAAAAAAAAAATGTCTTAGATAATGCATTCGAGAATCACTTCTTAAATCCATAACAACTTCAGTGTCATTTGATGTGTTGTATTTCATTTCATTACATGATTTAATTTTTTCAAACGACGTTGCGCCACGTCATTTATTTAATGTAAATTATAAAGAAAAACGTTCATGATCTTCTAATATATTTTATTTAACCTACTGATTTGAGTATTTTTTAGTTTTCCTTTTTTCTCAAACTTTAATTTATTATCTAAAATGAAGTATTCGTGAGTGTTTGAATATTTAATTAGTATAGCAGAAGCATCAATTATTTTTAAATAAATTAAAACTTTTTTTTTTTAAAAGTNATTAAAAAATTAACATCGTTTTATTATTATAAAAGGTATTTTCAACTTAGTCTTATTTTTTTGTATTGTACAAAATAATAGAGAGTTATACATAAATGTCTTATAAACAAATCATTAGTGTACTCTACAGCGCAGAACACGCCTATAAAAGCATAACTTCAAAAAGACTCACTGACATTGAAAAATAAACATTGTTGCCGTAGTTATACATGATGCTAACAGCATACAAAAATTCTTGTTTTTATATTTACTTACAGAAAAAATACATACTTTCGACTTTCACGTATTCAGTTTACAAAATATATAAAACTCACCACTATGTAATAATTTAATACATTATTTGTAAAAAGTATAAAAGTTATGATGCCAGCCCTTAGAGTTCCGGTATGTTGTTGCTTAGTATATTACTTAATAACATGAGGTCTTATTTCATTTGGTCTAGCTGTTGTATTTAAATTAGCTACGACACCTCGCGACCGTGCATCTTTTATCAAATCCTTCCACATGTTATCTTTCTGGAAAAAAATAACGTTTTTGTTAGTTTATTCAAGAAATGAAACTATGAGGTATTTAATAACACAGACATACATAATTTTTTTTTTTGTGGTAAGCAGTTCGATATGAAGTAAGTTTATCAGTCAATACACATTTGGTCACTTAATTATCCTATCTCATCAGATTTTCGGGATACTTAAGGAGGTTCGGGCACTCTTCGGGGAGGGGTGAGCGGGTATGCGGGGGCTCCCATTAGACAACGTGTTGAAGTGAGTTGTACTCACCCTGCATAAAAACGTCCACCCACTGCATCATGATTAATTTAATTGTGTTTAACTCCTCAGTGCTCAAAGGTGAAACCATTAAATGTTATGAAAAAATTACGGTACATACTTTAAAGCAGCTAGTTTCCGATAGTTTTCGTAAAAAAACTTGAAAATATGTTGTTTGCATGATAAAAAATAACCTAAAAAAAGTAGGAGGAGGCTCAGTTTTCGTCAACAAGAGTGTGTTATAAATTTTTGAAAAACCAACTTTTCTTTGCACAGCATAATAGTTTGAGATCTTTAGAAGGGCTGGGCCAAGTTTCAGATCATGATTTCAAGTTAAATAAATTCTAGACGTAATTTTGTAATGACGTCTTGCTCCGTATAAAAAGACCAGCTGACAGCAGACGATACTCGATTCTCTCCCATACACTTAGCATGGGACCCACTCGTGATTTTGTTTACGTTTGCACAGATATTTCTTCCAAATGTCTGATAAGGTGAATATTTTTGTATACGAGTGTCTTCCTCATGACTTGAACTTTAGGTACAATTTTTTTTATTACGTCGAAAAGCATTTTGACATACTTACATACATGATTAAAACTTTCAGAATGGCCTTTTCCATAAGAGGCTATGTTGTATTCGCACATTTCAATAATTTTTTCCTCAAATAAATGCCTGGTAAAAAAATATTAAAAAATTTATGGAGGTTTCTGACATGTTAACAAATCATATATATTTTTTCCAAGCATGAAAAGCATTTTCAAACAATGCCCGTACCTCTTTAAACTCTTAATCGTTTTGTAACGTATTTTTAGCGCTTTTGGCCTAAAAATATCGATGGAAAATCTGACAACAGAATTTTAAAAAGTTTACCCAAATATAAGACAAATAAAATAACAATTAAGTATGATGAAAATAAAAAATCTAGATATGACTACAGTTTGTGTGTTGATAATTACAACGGTCTAACTAATACCCAGTTTTTTTAGACTAATAAGTTCTATAGTACATAGCAAGTAGATGAAATTTCCAATTTTCAAGTTAAATGTTTCAGAAAATACGCAAGTAGAAGTTTTTAAAATGTTTTTCCGTATCCCACTCATGGGTATGTATAAGAATCCATACTCAAATCGTGGGCACACGAAAATAGTAATCTCTCCAAAAAAATATGTTTCAGCAAGAAATAAATAGTAAATACGTGCAATCTTAGAAAAGCTATTAGCCAGTGAGTTGAATCTTGTAAAACATAAATAAATAACTAAAAAAGTATTGCTTGTTTCACTTTTAATATTAAATAGGCTCGATGTACCACGCCAACTGCGCGCAAGATACTATGATTACCAGCGTTGGCCGCGGTGGTCAAAAGTTTTCTCCCAACCACAACCTTCAGAGCGCTTCTTTATCAGCGCCACTTAATTAATTAATAAAATATTAACTCATAACACAAGCGCCTATGACCCAATAACGCGGGGCGCTTACTGGCCACTCTATTATTTAATAAAATGTTAACTCATAACACAAGCGCCCATCACTCGGTAACCCAGGGAGCTTACTGGTCACTTTAATAATTGATAAACTGTTAATCAGTAACGCAAGCACTAATTAGTAGATTATTAATTAATAACACGAGCGTCTATTACTATAGGTCGTTGTCATATTTTACAATTAATTAAAATATTAAATTGCTGATATCACAACCCCATAAAATAGTTGTGTAAAAACCCCGCTTTGGAAGCTACACATTTATACGTAACAGTACCAAAATAAAGTGTTTTAATGTATATAATTATGCTAGTGTTATTAGGGCCTATTTATTAAAAAAAAATAAATTTAAGAATCTTTTTAAGGTTTCTTTATTGTTAGAACACGTTGCATCATATACATACTATTTGTTCAAATACATACTATTCTAAAATCATTTGTTTTTTTGAATAGTGAATACAGACCCGGATCATCAGGTGGTAGGCGCTTGTGTTATACATTAACATTTTATTATTTAATAGAGTGACCAGCAAGCGCCCCGGGTCATTAGGTGATAGGCGCTTGTGCTATTAATTAACAATATTATCATTAATAGAGTGGCCAGTCAGCGCCCAGGATGGCGCTTGTGTTATTAATTAATAATCTATTAATTAATAGAGTGGCCAGTCAGCGCCTCGGGATACCGGGTCATGGGCGCTTGTGTTATGAGTTAACAATCTATCATTTAATAGCGTGGCCAGTAAGCTCCTCGGGTCAATAGATGATAGGCGCTTGTGTGTGTATATATGTATACATATCATATGTATACACATATGTACGACCATCGCGGCCAACGCTGATACTTACTGAAATCCAATGTTGTTAGAGGTGACATCGAAAATCTCGAAGTATACATTGCATTCATCGATAGTTTTGATGTAGTACCACTGTACTTCTTGATTCTAGATGTAAGAAAAATTAACATCCTTAATTCCGAAGTAAATATTTTGGATATGAGCTGTTCGGGAGCGTAGTGTTTTATATTAATCTGGCGCACTTACCTACACGATTAACTGCGCAACCGAACAGCGCATATCCAAAATACTTACTTTACTTCGGGATTTGGGATTTGAAGTTTTCATACATCTAGAATCAAGAAGTACAGTATCGCTACATCAGGACTACCGATGCATGCAGTGTATTCTTCGAGATTCTCGATGTAACCACTATCAACATTAGATTTCAGTATGTATAGTATCATGCGTGTGTGTGTGTCGTGCTACCAAAGCAGCCGCAGTGGAGACAGAAAGGGTAGCAGGTGCCGTAAAATAATTTGCATAAGTATCATATATTTCATCGATTAAACAAACTTTGCTGTAAGTGATGTTCGATTGTAATTATATTAAAGTGAATCGTTCAAATACATACCAAATACATTTTTCTTTTTTCCTTGCTAAATATCACGGTGTTTAGAGTTAGTACTGAATTTTTTCACTAGAGGCCCCAGTGCCATGCACTGATGTAAAGTGTAGGGCCACTAGCTCCCTCTAACTTACACACACACACACACACACACACACACACACACACACACACACACACACACACACACACACACAGAGAGAGAGAGCTGATATGCGAAGCGAAAAGAGCGAGAGACGAGCGAACATATTGTTACGTCTAGCCCAACAACTAGGTTGAATTTTCGAAACTTTAGCCCTGGCAACCTAATGCCGTGGAGTCAGGGTTCGTCCTGGGGTCTAATCGAGACAAAAAAATTTGACGTCATGGCACGACTAACAAACACACTTACTAGGGCAAAGGAAGCGGGAGGAGACGGTCGGCCAAGGAACCTGAACAATAGTAGGTTAATTCGCCATTGCGTATTTTGACGTCAAATCGCTATCGCGATCAGACCTCTGGGCTGGCCACAACAAACACTGAAGGTGGCGGAGTTTATAAGGGGCAAGGCGTCCTGGCGGGTTGCCAGAACACGATTACTCCGAATGTTACTACTGGAATTCGTCCTGGCAGTAGCGTCAGAACAAGCTCCACAAAAAGAGGAAGGGAGAGGGAATACGGAGAAATGCTTCTCAAAAGAAAAAGGGAAAATAGAGTAAAATAAAAGTATGTATTTTTTTTACTTTATCTCGAGCCACTCGCGCGCGTGTGTGTGTGTGATGGCATGGTCGGAGCCGGTCGGTAGTGGGTGTTGTTGGTGAGTCTGAGGTGAGGAAAAAAATGCTCTCAGCCAACCCGGATACGATGGGCCTTCCTGCCCGAGAGATGCGGATGGGTTGACGGAGATGTGATAATGATTTCCTTGAAACTAGTTGTGGCGGCAACTGCTTGAGCGGGACTGACTGTGGCGATTGCTGTTTACATAGCGGACTTGTCGTAGGTATATAACGGACAACGAAGAGAGAACTGGGAAGGTAGAACAATGGTGGAGTAGCAACGTGGGAACTGTAGGGAGATGAAGGGTCGAGCGTGGCATTATGATTAGGTGGTCGTACGTATTAATTTATCCAGCGCAAGGATGATTCGAGGGTGCGTGGGATGGGTATGGGTGTTGCTTATCATATTAGATTTGTTAGTCTTATGTATAAAGACGGAGTTCGGATTTTTACATTGACGAACTTCGTGACCGAGAAGCGACTATATAGAAAGAGTATTAATATTGAAACGATACAATATAAAACTTATCTCTAGGTGTTAGTAAAAAAGATTTTGTTTGGTTTTTCTTGCACGTGCGCGTCTCGCTCTTCATAGGTGATATCCCTTGGGGGCATATCAGGCTTATCATTTGAAACGTTGTTGAGTAAAAGACAAGAATACAGGAGAGCCAAAAGATAGCGGTGAAAGTGACGCTCGTGTTTGCCGCATGGTAAAAGTAGATTACATTAGTAGAAACTTAGCTGTATGATAAAAATTAATATCTTAAGCCCAAGTATAGTTAAGCTTTTAAGCCGTGGAAAGTTCGTTGCTTTGTGGTTGAATCCCCGAGAGCAGAGTATTTTGGGAAAAAGCAATTAGGGAAAACCGTTGACTTTTGCATGCAATACTGAAATGAGCGTGACTAATTGGGGGAGGCAGAATAGTATTTTGGAATGTTCTGGTTAGGTAAATGTTGGTTGTGTGGTTCGAAAATGGGGAGAGGAAAAAAATGGATACTGTGAGTTGGATGGCATCCTAAAAAGGTTAGTTGAGGATAGCATAACATAATGACGAGACTAGCCGTCTATTTGAGATTTGAGACGAACACAGGAGCCTTAGGGCCTTTCGTT